GGCGGCCGCTTTGTTCAGACGAAATGAATGTACTGGGGGTCGGCCCGAGTCGGGGCGCGCACGCCCTCCTGCGTGGGCGCGCGGGCAGAGCCACGGTGGGCGCGGAGCTCGGCTTTATTTTTGTACTGATACTGGTCAGAGAATGTAGAGCATCTATTTATTCAGATGATTTATCTGGCAAACAAGGCAAAAAATTATTAACTACATTAAAGATGATTTTAAAGAAAGTTCTCGGGCGTCCGGTTCTTCTTCCGATGGGGTCCCGGCGGGGCTGCGAGAGGCGCTCCGGCCCACGGGCTCAGCCGGGGCCGTGGGGGCCAGCCCTGCCGGGGACTGGCTGTGACCTGGGACTGGCCATTCACTTTCCTGTGGCCTGCACAGGCTGGGTGAGGGTTCACTCGGTGGTGGGCGGCGGGACGTGGGCGGGAAGTGGACGCGGGCCCACTTCGGGGTCAGGGTGCAGAGGCGACAAGGGGTGGGTGGGCTTGGGGGCGGCGTCCGGCCTTGCCAGAGGCTCTCGGTAACTCCCTTTACAAGGTGGGGGGTTAGCACGCCTCATGCCCAGCGTCCAGCCTTGACCCTAGTTTTGGATCCCCAAGAAAGGCCCCGTAGGCACCCAGTAATAGTGTCCGTCCTGACTCTACGGTGCGTTACCTGGGCACGGCCCTCTGTGGCGGGCGCTGGTACTGCGCTCTGGTCCGCCCAGCGAGGGCACAGCCAGCCAGGAGCCCCGGAGCGGGAGCCCAGGAGCGGGAGCCCGGGGCTCACTCCCCCAGCCCTTCTGAGGAGCCTTACTCCCCGCGGTCTCTGTTTCCCACAGTCGGCTGGCGGGTCGGAGAATGTGAAACAGAAACTTTCAGAAATAAACAATGCGTTTAGTATCAGTTTGCGTGGTGACTCCGAGTGCCTTCTGTGTTTTTCCTTCCCAGACATGAGTCAGCCCTTTGTCCAGCGTCTCCACCCCGCATGTGCAGCAGCCCCTCCCTACCCCAGCCACTCAGTAGCGGTCTCTGTGTTCAGGGCTAAGGGACAGAGGCCACCACAGGGTCGTGGCCCCAGCAAGCCCTGGGTGCCCTCGCAGTCCCCCGTGGTGTGCAGACTCCCCAGCAGAGCCCCGGCAGGCCCCCTGTGTCTGCATGAAAACCCAGCAGAGCCTGTGTTACTCGGACATCACCCCTGGTCACCCCCGGTCACCCCCGGTCACCCCCGGTCACCCAGCCTGAGAGCAGTAAGGCGGCGCCGCACAGGGGTCTGGAGAAGTCTCCCAGCTCCCGGTGTGCAGCTCACCGTGGACTCCTGACTCGGCACATGGTGCCATTCCTCCGCCAGGACCGGCCCTGCCCTCCCGGAGCCTTCAGAGGCCCCCACCCCGGTTCCCGGCTCACACCAGTCCCGTCGGCCGCACTCAGAGCCACACTTGTCCCCACGCTGCTCCTCGAACGCGGGCCCTCCCCCCGGGGCCTCCGCACTCACGGGGCTGGGCCCGCGCCCTCCCTCAGCTCAGGCCCCTGACCCACGGCCACCCCCAGCCCCCAGCGGACTGCCCAGGAGACCAGCGGCCCGCTCCCGCCTGTCCCTGCGCCTGCTCCGTCTCTGCAGCCCTGGTCACCAGCTGACGGCCTGCGCGGTTCCTGGTGTGGGCGAGAACCCCACCGGGGACACACGGCTGTGGCTTTCGTGCCTTCCTGTGGCCCTTCGTCAGCTGGGACAGCGCCTGGCACGTGCCGGGGCCTCAGAGAGGGCGTGTCGAAGAATCCGAGAATGACCAGCTGGCCCAAGTTACCCTCAGCACACACTCACACGTGTGAGCCCACACTCACGGGTTCACAGAGTGCTTGCCGTTCCTGCACCTCCCGGGAAAGCCCCACGAGGCCAGCGTGTGGGCCCCGTGTCACGTGTCCCGTGTCCCGTGTCCCGGTGGGGAAGCCGAGGCTCCGAGAGGGGAGGCCTCGCCCCGCACCGCCCAGCCGGTTTCCCCTCAGAGCCTCGGTTTCCCCGTCTGGCAGAGGAGACCCTCATGCCTGTCTCGGGGGCTTCCAGAGGGGCCGATTTTAGGAGTCGGGTCCTGCCCTACAGGTCAGCGGTGGTCAGCAGTGGGAGGAGGCTGCAGGACGGGGCTGCCCGCCGGCAGGGGGTCAGCAGCTCCGGGCTCACAGCGCACGAGGGGAGGCCACACTCTGCTCCAAGGGCCCCCAACCGGGAGGAGGGACGCGGTGTCAAAGGCGCCCCGCTGCGATGTGCCCGGGTGGCCATCGGAGGGGCTGCCCAGGCCTCGCCAGCCTGTGGCTGCCAGCAGAGCGCTGACCGATGTGGGAGACTGAGACCAGGCGGCTCTGCCCGGGGCCGCTCAGCTGCAGGGGGCAAGGCAGGGCGGACGTCACCACCTGACCAGCCTCACAAACTACCGCACACTGGGCAGCCTTAAGCAACACAGGTGCACCCTTCCCCGGCTCTGGAGGGCAGAGCTCTGGCCGCCGGCCCCCGTGTCGGCCACAGGTGGGGCCTTTCCCCTCTGGTGCGGCCTGCAATCCGGGGTTCGTCTGACGTCCCTCCACCCCCTGTCCTCACCCAGCCTTCTCATGCGAGTCCCTGTCCGTGCGTCTCCTCGTCTTATCGGGACGCCAGCCGTGTTCGAGGCAGGGCACGCTCACTTTGAAGCATGGCCGCGCCGCAACTCACTCCGGTGCCCGGGCCCTCTCTCCGGCGAGGCCACCCGCGGAGGTTCTGGGAAGGTCACGAACGTTGAACGGATACTCTCCAACCTAGTCCATGCGTATCTCACGTTTACCGTTGAAAACGTTGTCATGTATGTTGTAGAGACTGCAAACTGTGCCACTGCATTTTTATGTACTTATTTATTTTTAGAGACGGGGGAAGGGAGAGAAAAACAGAGGGAAAGAATCTGGGCACACCCACAGCCCAGCTATGTGCCCTGTCTGGGAATTGAACCAGCGACACGTTGGTGCAGAGGCTAGGGCTCAATCCAGTGAGCCGCACCGGGCAGGGCTGATCTACCATGTTAATGCTCCCATTTCAGACTGTATAAACCCTGCTTTTTAGCAAGTTACTCAGCCATCTGAAATAAAGGCGACATTTCCCAGACTCCCTTGCTGCTGGGTGTGGCCAAGTGACTGGGCCCCAGTCCGGGAGATATGAAAATCAAACCGGAACGGCAGCGTCTGGGAGGGACCCTTCCTTAGGAGCGGCTAGCTTGCTCACCCGCCCCTTTCTGCTCCTCTCCCCGCACCGAGCTGCTGGAACCCAGATGTCATATGTGGCTACGTTTTCGGCCAGGAGGACCAGGTCCCCGCACGTCCCGAGGGCGGCACAGCAGGGAGCTGGCCGCTGTGCGGGTCCAGCGGGCCCGTGGAGTGCCCACTCCGAAGCTGACGCCAGGTCTCGCACGTGGAGGTGAGCTCCCGCCTCTGGCTGCCGGGCGGCAGGAGCCCGGGCCCGCGTCCACAGGGCGGACCGCAGTCCTGCTCTGGCTGCAGAATTCCCAGAGTGGGCGGGGGTGGGGGGAGCGGGGAACAGAGAGGGGTCGGAATCGGGACAGGGACACTCTTGGAGCAGATGTCCTGGAGGTCCCCATGGATCTCTAAGACGGACCTTGTGCTTTGTCCTTTTCTCCAGGACGAGGAGGCGTTTTCAGCGGCACTCCCTGGCCAAGTTCATTGCCCCAGATGGTCAAGGGTGTGTGGTCCACATCGGAGCCGCTGTATGCCTCCCTCCGCGGAGGAAACGCAGAGAGGGGAGCATCAGAACACTGGGCTAAGGCCGCCAGAGATGCCTGGACTCGGCCCTCCACCACCCGCCGTGGTGCGGATGGGGACGGGGTGTGAAGGGACAAGTGTCTAGCACCGTACACCAGGACAACCAAGGTCAAGCAACAAAGAGCCGGCTGGTGGGAGACCCAAGACATTCTCTGGAATGATTTTATGGACATATTCCCAACACACGCAACCCTCCTGCTTTTCCCTCCCCCCGGTGGCCTGCCCAGAATCCCACCACCCCAGGATCCTCACCTGCTCCCTGCAGGTGGCCCCACGGCCCAGCCCACCCTGAGGACAACTTGACTCAGCTCCTCCCCAGGACGGTCCCCGGGTCCTCAGCTCCGTGGTCCGAGGACCAGACACCTTCATTCATGGTCCACACTGAGCGCCTCAGCGGCCACGTCTCTGGCCTGATTCTCAGCTGCTCTTTGCTTTCTGTTCTGCTTTTGGGAAGGCTCTGGTCACCCCCACCCTCACAAGCTCGATCCTACTGTTACTATAAAATTTATTGAGTGTCAATGTAAATTCACCACTAATTGTCTTTCTGCTTCTTCTCCACTGCAATCCCCAGGAGGCAGCCCCACCGAGGGTGCCCCAGGAGTGATGTGGGAACGGATGCAGAGGAGTGGAGTGTGAGGGGGCCTGGGAGTGCCTGGGGCTCAGCATCTGCAATGGACGCAGTAGGGTCAGGGTCAGGCTGGATGGAACCTGGGAGTCAGACACATGGGCCAAGGCTCCAGCTTGTACCAAACTCACTCAGAAAGCTCCCCGGTCCCTGTGTGACTCAGCTGGGTCCCCCACCCAATCAAGAGTGCTAAGGTCCCACCCACAGAGACTCAGAATTGGGACTGCATTGCAGAGAGCACCCTGCTAGAGGTGATCAAATTTAAACAAGATGCTGAGAGTGGACCTTATCTACCTCGACTGATGCCCTTAGAAGAGGAGAAAGCTGGGACACACAGAGGGACCCAGGGGCTCCCCAGCAGCCACCCAGAGAGGAAAGGCCACAGAAGGGCAGAGGGAGGGGGCGGCCATCTGCAGCCAGAGAGACAGGCCCCAGGAGCAACCTCCCTGCCAACACCTCGACCTTGGATGTCCAGCCTCCAGACTGTGGGGGGCAAACCTCCAGCTGAGCCACCCAGGCCGTGGAGCACTGATGGAACCACCTCCCAAAACGCAGGTGTGTGCCCCCCCGTGCGAGGAGCCAGAACACCGAGACACCGGAGCTGCAGTCACTGAGGCTTTATTGGATTCGGCCAAAGGGAGAGAAGAGGAGGGCCAGACCTCTCCCAGTTCTCTTCTCCGACAACTGGAAATTCAGCGTTTTTATGCAGCTGGAAGAGGGGGAGGGCGGCTTCGGAGACCTGGAGAGAAGCCTGTGTTCCCTCCAGCTCAGACCAGGCCTGTTCCCATCAGACCTGGGGCCGCAGCTGGGCTGGGCTCCCTGGGACACGGTCTTCCTTCTGCAACAGGCTCGGGAAGCCCCCTGGGACCCCGAGGTCATCCCCTGCTTGACAAGGAGACAGCACCTTCTAACCACACTTCTGACCACCTTCCCAAGTCAAAGGACTTGAGCAGGAAGAGCTGTCACCCCGGGGGCGCTGGCCTGACTGACAACACAACCCCTGGACTGCAGCTGCCCCAGAGGCAGGGGCACTCAGGTGGCCCGGGGCCGGGCCTCAGGGCCCCTGAAGGAGGCCCTGGCAGCCGAGTGCCGTGGCTCTCTGCTTGTCACACTGCTGCACTTGGTGCCCATTGTGCTCAGTTAATGACAGGGTCTGGTTAGTGTGGTGACATGGGAGGGCCCAGTTAAGGGGTGGGGCTCCTTCCTTTTGGGGACAGGGAGGCCGGGAGGGGTAAAGGGAAAATGGGTGTGGGGGGCACCTTAGGGATCAGAGAGGCAGAGAGAACAGAGCTCAGGCGCAGGAGGTGGGAGGGGAGGGGGAGCGGGACGGAACAGAACGGGGAGGGGGCTGAGGGAACACTTACCAGACGATTTCTTTAAGCTCGTCATCCAGAGCATAATAATTTCGACGGATACCCTTCCAATACCTGAAGGACATTCCGCCATTGTCCACAAAGTTGTCCCAACAGTATTCAAAATCTGATGCAAAGAGGGGAGACAGCAGTCAGGTCAGGCCAGGGAGCCTCTCTGTCCTGACCCTGCCCTGGCCTCGCCCCTCAGGGCCTGGTGTCCTCCCTGCAAGACGCCATCACTCCTTCCTCAGATTCCCACGTTCCCCTTCCACTCGCTCTCCCTGGGGAATTGTCGTGTCCCCGAGCCTGGTCCGATCCCCGGGACAGCCCTGCCCCCACGCCCTCTGCTCTCACCCTCGGGAGACATCATGGCCACCTCGGCCCCTGCCTGGTCCAGCAGTCGAAGCCCCTCCTGCTGGTCCTGGTCATCACACTTGTACAGGCGGGAGGCAAAGATGCTCAGGGTGACGTTCTCGCGCTCCCCCAGGAAGCTGACCACCTCCTCTGCACACTCGAAGCAGGGGCTCCAGGACATGTACCAGGTGACACGGTAACCCGCATGAGGGGATGGATACTTGTCGTTGAACCAAGAGAGGAAGCACTCTTCTGCGTGGAGAGGCTCCACCGGGTAGATGTATTGAAGGTAAGAGGGCTGGTGGGTGGAAGGACAGGGCACAGGGGGTCAGGGGTTGGCTGCAGGCTGAGGGGCGTGCTCTGCCTCTGCTGAGGCTGCGTCCTCCTCCAGGGAGACCTGGCTCCAGGCTCAGAGCAGGCAGGGGGCCAGCAAGGGGCAGGGGAGGGTTCCCCACTGGGGGTCACACCTGCTGGGTCTAGAGGAGTCAGGGGTGTGGCTGGGGAGGACCCAGCCAGCAGAGCACCTCCTGAGGCCACCTGAGGCCCCATTCTCTAAGGCCCGACTCTCAAAGATGCCCTTCCCTCCAAGACCGCAGAGGCCCTGGGCCCTGGGCAGCAGATGCTCTAAAAGGGACCTCATGGACCAGGCCAATGCCACAGTGCATCGGGATTCAGGGGGTCAAGCGGGGACATGAAGGCCTAAATCTGAGCACATCGGTGTAGGGAGGAGGCTCTGGCATTCTACTTATTATAGTTTTTCTACCTCCTTCCCTTTGGTGACAGTATCATGGGTCTTGTACCTGGTTTCGAAAGATCCCCTGGTAGCAGGGCTTGAGAAAGTTGTACTTTTTTTTTTCCACCTGGAAACAGAGGTAGGTGTTGTTCAGCCCAGGGGCGAATGGCTGGTTGTGGAAGTTGGTGGTGTAGATCTTGGGATATAAGCTGTACATCGGTTTCCCGAGGGGAGAGAGAAAACCGAAAATACAGAGAGTGTTTACAGGGCTGTCTTCCATCTGGTTTCTACTCAGCAAGCCCCCTGAACCCCTGGCCCTGTGCCTCCCCTCCATCCCTTCTCCCCAGCATGCCCTGCCCTGTCCCAGGCAGGAAGATGGGGAGAGGAAGAGGAGGGGTCTGCAGGGACAGCTGGCACCAGCATCCTCTCCCGTGGGACCCCCGCTCTGCTGCTTCTCACAGCACACCCCACCCCCACCCCAGCTTCCTGCCCACCCATCCCCAACCCAGGCGAGTATGGACACGGGTGGTACAATGCTCTCTGTCACCACAGGTGGTCACGAGCTGCTGGTAAGGAAGCCAGCAAGGGCCACGGGACGCTGAGCTCAGTGCTCGGGGAGCCTCAGCCTGCTTGCTTAGCCGGCCCCGCAGCCTCACAGACTCCGTGCCACACTCCAGGGCTCTGCCGCTGGGCCCTCTGAGTCCTGGGGGCCCCGGAGCTCTCCCCAGGGCAGGGGGAGGTGCTTGCCCCCAGAGGCTGCAATGTAACTAGTGGGTGGACCCTCAGAGGTCAGGAAAGTTTGGGAAGTTGACTGGTTATTTTGAAAAAGCTCCTCGCCCTTCCCAAGGCGATACAGTCCCAGAGGAACAGGGAAGCTCTCTCTGTCTCTGGCTCCGGGGGACTTGCACAAACGCTGTTTGGTCTGCGATCGCGCTCTCTCTCTCTCCCTCTCTCTCCCTCTCTCTCCCTCTCTCTCCCTCTCCATCTCCCTCTCTCTGGAATAACTCCCCTAGGTGGGTGTAGCGGCTGTGCGGGCCTGCAGTGGACGCAGGGCACCAACGGTTCAGCTCGCACGTGAAACAGGAACTGTCAACACCGGCCTTGGTTTCCGCCCTGTGAAGACGCGGTTGAACTTGTTCCGTGGGGGGACGAATGGAGGTGGGACATTGCACACCCAGGCTCGGGCTTCCACCAGAATAAACCTTGCCTCCCACAATCTCCGGGCGTAGGTCCCTGAAATACTTTTCCCCTGACACTGTGGAAGAGCCTGGTCTCCACGAGCAACACCTCCACTCCCAAGTGACACTTTTTACAATGTAGGTACATTCATGCCTAAGCTTTGTGCCAGGCAACTTTTTTCACTCAAGCTAAGAAATACATTCACAGGCTCCAGTGACTATTGTAGGAGCTCCATGCGCCTGAGCACAAAGCTTAGGCATGTGCTCAGAAAGGCAACTCCATTTCTCCTTCCCAGAATTCTGGGGGAGTCACCCCATTTTATAGAGAGTGACTCCCCCAGAGGGAAGAAGCAGGCACACAGCAGGGAGTGGCCCGGTCCAGTGCAGGGCAGCGGAGTGACAGAGCGCGTCCCCTGCCCGGGCAGAGCCCTGTCCAGCACCAGCAGGACGGGAAGGGCAGTGTGTGCCCTGGGGGATGAGCTGCCCTTTGCTACCCAGTTGTGCACGGAGAGCCTTTCTCCTGACCGTGGGTGGCACTGTTCTCCGCTCCCACTGCTGGTCGCTACGCTTACACACGCCAAGGACGTGGCCGTGTCTGGGAGCAGAGTGACTCACTCTTGAGCTCACAGTGGGGCCGTCTAGGGGAGCTCAGGGACCTTCTGGCCCAGGGAGCTGCTCTCACTCAGTGTGTGTGGTGGGGCCATTCAGCAGCAGGAGTGGAGGGCATCCCCAGATCAGGGCAGAGATCCCCGATGCAGAGGGAGCTGAGGATAGGAGCCCAGAGGGAGGAGAAGCCAGGCTGGCGTTGGGGTGGATGAGGCTGAGGACAGACCCCGCAGGGCCCACCGTGTAGGAAGGAGCCACAGAAGGGACAGATTGGGCAGCGGTACCTGGGCCAGGGCTCCATGACGTTGTCCTCCTGCTGGGCTGTTTCTCTGCTGGTATCTGCCCCCAGCGCTGGCTCTGCCTTTCTTCTCAGAAGGCTCCTGCTTCAGGAAAGTCCCTTGTCTGAGGTCTTCCGCCTTGTCAGCTGAGGCCCCACCTCCCCCTGCGTGGGCTGCAGGGTAGGAGGGCCCTGGGCTGGGGGCCTCCTGTGGTTCTGACCCACCTTCCCCGCCTCCTGTGCCCTGCCTCCTGGCACAGCTCCTCCCCTGCTGGACACAGGCCCCTCTGGGCAGCAGGACCAGCAAAGGGAAAGTGAAAGTGAGGGTGACAAATAGGGGGTGGGACAGGCCCTGCTGGAGGGAGCAGGACAGAGGCCCCGCTCCCCTGGGAGGGGCCTGCTGGAGTCCCTTCCACAACCCACCCCCAGCCCCAGTCCACACCCAGTTTTCACCCCTCGCAGCCTGTTGAAGGGCGCAGGTGAAGAGAAGGCTGGACCTGGGTCAGGGACGGATGTGCCTGGAGTTCCTGGTTCTGGGCGAGGCATCTGGGAAGTCCCCTTGGACTTCCCGTGGAGGGACAGAGGGCTGCTGCCCCAGTCCCTCGGCTCATCAGGGTTTCCCATGTTCCAGGGATGGGGGGGCCTCCCTCAGTCACGGGGCAGATGCTCTGCTTCTGGGTGTGGCCAGGCTTATGCTCTTTCTGTATAAAGTCATTTTAATGTTTTAAAATGGTTTTCTTTTTTAATGACTAATTTTTTGAGAGAGAGAAGACACAGAGAGGGCCAGGATAAGACAGCACAGATGGGTTGTCCCGCTGGTTCAAACACGCCCTGGCATCTTCCTGGGGGGCCCTCACTGGGCTCAACCCCGCGACCTTGGTGAATGAGGAAGACTCTCTGACCAGCTGAGCTACCTACCCTCTCAGGGGTGAATGTTTTCATATTTAACGTTTTGAAACATGGTTGTTTTTTCATGCATATATGATGACAGCCATAAAATGTTTAGTTTGCTTTGGATTGCCTATACAAAAACGTTTCATGAGTTTTCTCCCTGTGATTTTGTCCTCCTGGTGTGCAGGGCCCCAAACTGGTGCATGTGGGACCGTGTGTCTGCGTGGGGGCTGCCTGTGAGCTCTCTCTCCTGCCCCCTGGGCGCTTTTGTTCATGCCGGGCTGCTGCCGCGCGGCCCTGCTGTGTCTGTGGGGCAGGTACCGGAATCCCGATGCAGACCCACCGCGTGTTCTTATCCTCTGAGGCCGCACTGGCCCGACACAGATCCACGGGAGTTTAGGGACAAGCGTTTGCACGCTGCAGGAGGAGGCGCCCTGTTGCCAGTGTGTAGGTCAGCGGCAGCGGCACAGACCTCCGTGTGCCCCTGGGACTCCCCGTCCAGGAACACGGCCTGTCCCTCCTCGTCTGCCGGCCTCCTTCTGCATCCACACGGAGTCCCCGTCAGGGGGAGGGAGCCGGGAAGGAAAGGCAGGGGAGGCAGGGGTGAGGACCAAGAGGAGGAAAGGGAGTGTGGGGCGGGAAGGAACGGGGCACAGCAGGAAGGGACCCCACTCTGGGCCCGTGGAGGCAAGCAAAGGGCTGGGGACAGCACAGAGTGGGGGAGACGAGGGGGAGCAGTGGGGGGTGTGGATCCGACTCCACCTCTTCCACTTGCAGCCCTGGGAGAAGGGACAGGGCTTTGCCTCAGACACCAGGAGCTGAGCATCACTCCCTGTCCCGAGGGTGGTGCGGTCTGCACAGGCTTGGGCATGACGGGGCTTGGCTCAGATGGGGACACCAGGGGAGGCGGCCTCACAAGGCAGGGGCCAGCTAGGAGACCCGGGAGGGGAGCCCCTCGCAGTCCATCCCCCTCACCTGGGCCTGGCGCCATCCCCTCTGGGACAGGCAGTCTCCCTGGCACAGCGGCAGCAGGGGCAGGGGGAGCACCCAGGGTCAGAGCAGGAGCCTGCAGAGGGGAGGAGAGGAGTCCCCATCAGGGAGGCCAGGAGGAGGGGGTCAGGAGCAGGACTGGCCCTGTCCTGGGTCCCAAGCATGGCCACCTGCTGAGGCCTCCAGGGCTGCCTGTCACCACTGCCCTCTGTCACCACGACCCTCTGTCAACACTCCCTCCCAGCACAGGGCTGCCCGTGGGGGAGCACAGCCTGCTGGAGGACTGAGGGACTGACTGCACATGGGAGGGTTATTTGTAAATGAGACTTCCCATCCCTGTCATAACAACCTCACCCTTAGTGGAGGACTAACTGTCTCAGACACTGTCCTAATGCACGACATTCAACTGCCAGCACCGCCCCCAAGGTCAGTCAGTCACTGTCACTCCCCATATGTTACAGGTGGGAACCCAGGAGCTGGTCCTGTTCCCTTCCCAGTGCCCACACACTCTCCCAGGAAACAGCCCTGGGCTCTCTCATCATTTCTGGGCTGTGCTTCATGGGCTGTCTCGTCAGCCACCCTTCATGGTGGGTCCCTGCCGTTGTCCATCCAAAGTGTGTAGAGGCTGCCGTGTTCTGGGCTTGGTCCCGTCCTCCTGCTGCCTCCTTGGATGGAGGAATGAAGTGTGGAGGGGGCCGCCATCTGAGGCTCAGAGGAGACCAGGGAAGACAAGCCCTGGAGCTGAGCTGGGGGACAGGGCGGTGGGCCCGGTGACCGAGAGCATCACTGACCCCTGAGCCAGGCCCCCACCCTCCTGCTCTGCCCACAGGTCTGCTTCTGTGGGACGGGCTGACTTTCTGCCCCTGCAGGCAGCTTCTGTCCCAGGCAGCACAGTCCCCGACACACCCCTCTCTCTACCTCGAGTCCTGCCTTCAGGCTCCTTCTTGTCCCTTGTCCTCCCTCCATGGCCCTCAGCCCTGTGTTGTCCCTTCCTGCCCTGCCCTCCCCTTTGCCTCCAGCTCTCTGGTCACGTTGTCTGTCAGCTCCTCCCTCTGGCTGCTAGTCCTCTCTGACTTAGCCACTTTCTCCTGTGGCCATGGTCATCCTGACTGTCCTCATTCTCTGTCCCTCCATGTCTCACACTAAATGCTCCACCCCAGTGCCTACAGTCACTGTGTGAGCTTGTGACACAGGGTGGACCCAAAAGGGAGCAGAAGTTTGTGAGGAGGGACCCGGGAGCCTTGGCTGCCCAGAACACCTGGTGCAGCACGCCCAGCTGTCAGGGCTCACTCAGCATGACTCAGGCTGCACAGAGACAGACACAGGCAGGAGAGACGTCTGGTGCCTGGGACTGTGAGGGCAGAGGTGTGATTCAGGCAGGGAAGCCCCTGTCTCAGGCTTCCTCCCAGGTCAGTGGAATTAGCAATGGCCTGTGGACTAGAATAATTCTCAGCCTCCCATCTGACTGGCAGTTCTAGTTTCTCTTCCCTACAGTTACACTCAGTCTTTATCTTCTCCTATTGCGTGGGCTGTCATTTCAAAAACAGCTCTGGTATTTGTATGATAGTTTAGGGGAGGAACTCCATCCAGCAGAGCTCTCGTGGCCACCACGGATGAGAAATATGTCGTCCCTGACACAGTCTTGTTGTTCCAGCAGGAAAGGGGGTGGCAATTCCCTCTAGTGGGGAATTCCCCGGGCCCTTCTCCCAAAGGCCTTTTACGGAGCATGAGATGTGTAGAGGTATGCAGCATACATGCCTATCTCGTCAATCAATGTCAAAAGGCTGCGGTCCTACAAAAACAGGTGTCATCTATCGATAACAGTGGAAGGAACACAGAGATGTGCCTCAGGTCAGGGTCTGTTAGTCATGCTGACACCAGAGGGTCGTTAAGATGTATTTCATGAGATAAGGAGTTTCTGCTTGTGCCTGGAACTTAAACTCTGGTTTGTATCGTCAGGGCTTATCACTAGGCAGAGTAGGCTTCAAAGGATACAGTGTAGGTTTCGGGCCTGATTCGCACGGGCACCCTCAGTGTTAGAGTGGAGTTATGCCCGCCCCCTGAGTTTTCACCTGGTTTTCCACGGAGACTTACTAGCCCCTTTCAGGGCTTGCTCTCGTGGGGCTACAGTCTCCGAAACCACACAGAGCCGTCTCCAAAAATAGTTTGTCAGTGAGTTTCGGTTTTTGCATTCCAGATTCTGATCCTATGAACATTACTGATTTTTACTTGGAAGTGAAAATTAGTGTGGCCACTGCCCTCCCGGGAAAGTACCACCAAAGACAGAGGGTTTTGCCCATTGGCAGGTGTTTATTGAACTCTTTGGACGTCATGATACATGCACAAAGGGAAAAACATTTTGTGGAAGATTTTCAGTCCTTCATTTCATTGCTTTGTATTTAAAATCCATGGAAATAAGTATTTCCCTAAAAATCAAAAATGGTTCCGGTAGTACTGAGTAGAATCTTACTGGTGTGTACTTGGAACGTATCATAGATTTAAAATAAAAAGTAAATCAAGTGGGTATTTTAAAAACAAATTTCTTAGGAGCTCATTGACTTTTTGTGATGTCTTTGGATCAATTTGGAGATGGGGGGAAAGGTGAGTTTTCTCATCTTGAAGAAGGTGTTTCACTCCTCAGTCTCCAGAAGACTCCGGTTGTTCAAAGAGGTTGAGTCCGTCTTCAGTTGCTCTGACTCCTGATGGAGACATGGGGTTGAAGGGTGTGGGAGGGTAGCAGGTGGGAAGAGAAGCTGAGAGGTGTCCGGGGCAGCTGCAAGGATGGGGAAGGACGGGGGGACACAAGGACGTGGGAGAGCAGAGGGACCTTGTGAGAAGGGAAGGGAGGGAGGGAGCATGTGTCCCAGGGGGGAGCAGGTGACCCAGAGGAGGCCTGAGCAGAGGGAAGGAAGGCCCAGGGAGAGAAGGTGAGGAGGGAGGGGAGCAGCGGGAGAGCAATGAGCGGGGAACCTCACCAGGAGAATGTCTTCCAGCATCTTTGATAGTTTCTCACTGTTTTTATTCAGTTTAGACCAGGTTAGACCAAGGCTGAAAACCAGGTCATCCAGGTTACTCCGGGGCGGGAAAAGTGCTTCCTGGGGGGCCACAAAGGTTGTCCAGCAGCACGTAAAGTCTGAGAGGGAACAGGGCAGATAACATTGAGCTTCAGCTCTGGGGAGCAGCAAGGAGCCACAGGGTCTCTGCCTCTTCCGACACGCTCTCCCCATCACCATTTTATTGCCACTTTTCTTTCTTCCTCCCAGGGACTTAATTATCACTGAAAGTTTGGTTACCTGGAGTGAGAGGCAGTCTAATTTTCCCTTTTTCTGGATGTCCCCTTCTTTCATGTGTCTTCCCTTCCCCTGCCCACCTCTCTTCCCTGAACTCTCTCCCCCAGGAGACTCCCCAGACCTCTCCAGATGCAACACCGCCTCTCTGGGCAGCTGACTGACACTCCACTTCGTCTTTGGGGTTCCAGATCCTTTCTATCTGCTCCTAGTTCCTCCCAGGAGCCTGCCCCAGTGCCCTCTGCTCTCACCCTCTGGAGACATTACGGTGAGCTCGGCTCTGGGGCCGGCCAGACTACGAAGCCCCTGCCGGTATTCTGGCTTATTGCTGTGGTAGAGTCGTGAGAAAGTCATGCGCAGCCGCACATGCTTGTGCGTGTTCAGGAACTCGGCCACCTGCTTCGCACACTCCACACAGGGGCTCCAGGACATGTACCAGGTGATGTCGTATTCTTCTCCAGAGCCCGGGGTCTGCTCCAAGATTACCTCCTTGAACCAGTTCAGGAAGCAGATTTCTGCGTGGACTCTCTTCTTTGGATAGAACTGGCAGAGAGGGACAAGAGAAGGGGACACGCTTGGCTGTCAGAGCAGGCTGTGGCAGGCCCGAGGGGCTGGGGACCAGGGCACAGGGAGCAGCGGTCTCAGGGGCAGGCTGTGGATCCATTTGTGCTTTCTAAGCCCCTCCCTCCCCCTCTGTGCTCATTTGGCCTCCCCTCCCGCACTCATCCATGAACTCCAACACCATTCTCCCCGCCCTTCCTCCTACAGGCGTCCTGAGCGCCTGCCCCTGGCTGGGCCCCTTGTTCCCCGGGCGCCATCTGCTGGGGACGGCCGGGGAGCTGCCTTGTCCACAGGGGAGTCCACAGCCACACGCGTGTACCATGTCGTGATGTGTGGCTCACCCGGATTAAGACGTGGGGCAACTGTGTAACACACACCTCCTGTCAATGACTTAGTGTGAAGAAATAGAGTAACCTCTCTCTGAGGAACTTTTGTGTTGACTGTGTGTTGAAATAATGCCTGAGCGCTATTACAGAGACATGCCAGCATGACATTCATCAGTTTCTCATAAAGTCTGAATACTGGGCACAGGAAAAGGTTAAATGCCATGAGAGACCCCACTCACTGCCTGTCCACCAGGCGGTCCCGCTGCAGTGACAGCTGCCATCCCATAATGATTCCTCCTCACAATGTGCTCTGAGTGGTCTGCAGCCTGGTGGAGGTGGGAGGGCTGGTGGGTGGAGGGACAGGGCACAGGGGGTCAGGGGTTGGCTGCAGGCTGGGGGGCGTGCTCTGCCTCTGCTGAGGCTGCGTCCTCCTCCAGGGAGACCTGGCTCCAGGCTCAGAGCAGGCAGGGGGCTAGCAGGTGGGGGTGGGTTCTGCCCTGGAGGTCACACCTGCTGGGTCTGGAGGAGGCAGGGGGGTGGCTGGGGAGGACCCAGCCAGCAGCGCACCCCCTGGGGCCCCCTAGCAGCTGGGGCTCAGCAGGCCCCACTCTCTAAGATGCCCTTCCCTCCAAGAACGCAGAGGCCCTGGGTGAGGAACAGACTGATGGGCAGCAGATGCTCTAAAAGGGGCCCGTGGGCCAGGCCAATGGCACAGTGCATCCGGATTCAGGGGGTCAGGTGGGGACATCAAGGCCTAAAACTGAGGACAATGGGGAGGGGAGGAGGCTCTGGCATTCTACTTGTTTACTTTCCACATGGGTGCCTTAGATGACTGAATTGTGGGTCCTGTACCTGGTTTTCAAAGACCCCTTTGGAGATAGGTGAGTTGTTTCTTTGCACTTCGTAGCAGATGTAGCAGCCATTTCGACCTTTCGGGGTGAGCTGGTTTGTGAAGTGAAAGTTGAAATAATCCTCATATAACTTCTGCATCGGGTTCCTGGTGACGAGAGAGACGACAGAAAACACACAGTGTCCCCTGGGCTTTCTGCCATCCAGTTTCTCCTGAACAGGGGCCCAGGACCCCCTGAGTGCGGTGGCCCCCTCCCCATTCCACCCAGGATGTCCTGCCTCCTCCCAGCCAGGACCACAGGCAGAGGAAGAGGTGGGATCTGCAGGGACAGCCAAGACCGTGTCCTCTCCTGCAGGACCCCGGTTATGCTGCTGCCAACAGCACACACCCACCCCTGCCTCAGACTCCTGGCCACTCATCCCCAGCCACTGGGAAAAAAAGAATAATAAAACTGCCTCCACCCCCCAAGAAAAGCCTTTAATATTGAGGTTCAAATCACACCTCACTTTTCATTTACACGGGCTTATTGTTTAAAATACCAGGCTAATACCTGAAATTTCAGGCTCACACTACTGTTCTAAGAGCTCCCTGTATGTGAACTCCTGTCCTCCCCAAATCTAGGGGTGTCACCCCGTTGTACAGAGAAGGGAGCAGGGCAAGACAAGTAGTGGCTGGTGCAGTGCAGGGCAGGGGAGTGACAGAGCGGGTCCCCTGCCCGGGCAGAGCCCTGTCCAGCTCCAGCAGGACGGGAAGGGCAGTGTGTGCCCTGGGGGGTGAGCCACCCTTTGCTACCCAGATGTGCACGGAGAACCTTCCTCCTGACCGTGGGTGGCACTGTTCTCTGCTCCCGATGCTGGTCGCTACGCTTACACACGCCAAGGACGTGGCCGTGTCTGGGAGCAGAGTGGCTCACTCTTGTGCTCACAGTGGGGCCGTCTGTTGGCTCCACCCGGAGCTCAGGGACTTTCTGGCCCAGGGAGCTGCTCTCACACGCTGTGTGTGGTGGGGCCATTCAGCAGCAGGAGTGGGGGGCATCCCCAGATCAGGGCAAGACCCCCGATGGAGAGGGAGCTGAGGGAAGGAGCCCAGAGGGAGGAGAAGCCAGGCTGGCGGTGGGGTGGACGAGGCTGAGCACAGACCCCGCAGGGCCCACCGTGTAGGAAGGGGCCACAGGGGGGACAGAGTGGGCAGCGGTACCTGGGCCAGGGCTTCGGAGTGTAGCCTTTCTTCCAGGTCAGTTTCCTTCTCGCCATTGTCCCCAGCGCTGGCTCTGCCTTTCTGCTCAGAGGGCTCCTGCTTCAGGAAAGTTCCTCGTCTGAGGTCTTCCGCCTTCTCAGCTGAGGCCCCACCTCCCCCTGAGTGGGCTGCATGGTGGGAGGGCCCTGGGCTGGGGGCCCCCTGTGGTTCTGACCCACCTTCCCCGCCTCCTGTGCCCTGCCTCCTGGCACAGCTCCTCCCCTGCTGGACACAGGCCCCTCTGGGCAGCAGGACCAGCAAAGGGAAAGTGAAAGTGAGGATGACAAATAGGGGTGGGACAGGCCCTGCTGGAGGGAGCAGGACAGAGGCCCCGCTCCCCTGGGAGGGGCCTGCTGGAGCCCCTTCCACAACCCCCACCCCAGCCCCAGTCCACACCCAGTGAGGGCCCCTCGAAGCCTGTTGAAGGGCGCAGGTGAAGAGAAGGCTGGACCCTGGGTCAGGGACGGGTGTGCCTGGAGTTCCTGGTTCTGGGCGTGGCATCTGGGAAGTCACCTCGGCCTTACCGTGGGGGGAGAGAGGGCTGCTGCCCCAGTCCCTCTGCTCATCAGGGTTTCACACATTCGGGAGGAGGGGCCCTCCATGAGTCACAGGGCAGATGCTGTGCTTCCATAGGGGGCCAGGCTCTCAGCTTATGCTCTTTCCATATGAAGGTGCTTTAATTTGTTTAAATGGTTTTTTGTGGATTGATTTTTGAGAGAGAGAAAAAGACAGAGAGAGCAGGGATAAGAAAGCACACATTAGGTGACCCACTCGTTCATACACGCCCTGGTATATTTCTGGGGGCCCTGACTCGGTCAACCCTCCTTATTGATGCTAGTATGGTTAGAGAGTTTTACTTATAGATCATGCATTCTCTGAGTCATGTGTCAGGAAGGTACTTTGTGGTCAGGCCCCAGGAGACGTGGCCACGCCCATCCTGATGTGGGGCTCTGGGCGCTGAGCACAGGACGGGCCTCCACCCGGCGCTTCCTTCACCCAGCGGAGTCGGTGGGCAACAAAATGCGTTCTAGAGGACCTTAATGTGCATTAAAGGAAGTGATACAAAGAAAGATCCAATGTCGTCTCATCCTTGCCGTCACACGCACATTTATTTCTTCAGCATGTTGTGGGAAAAGGAAACAGAACGCAGGCCCATGCGGTCGCAGTCAGGGACGGCAGAACCCCGGGTCCCGGCGGACCGAGCACTAAACGGAACTGCTGAGATCAGCGGTGATGTCAGGCCTCTGGCTCCATTTCCCTGCAGGCGCCGCGGCTCTGTCCTCCTGTGTGGGCTTCGTTCCACTCCAGCTCCTTCCCCTGAGGTGCAGAAATGGTTACAGCAGGCCCAGGCCCCAGGGTTCTCCCCGTCTTCTCCCCCAACCATCCAGAGAACCCAGAGCTGGGGTGTCCAAAAGTCCCGGGATTCACGCTGATTGGACGGGCTTGTTCACGTGGCACTTTTGAGCCAATCATCGAGTGGCTGGGGTAGAACCGATGGATCCACCTACTCCTACCTTACTGGCAGAAGGTCTGCCCAGCAGCAACAGGGGGTCACGCGGAAGGTAGATCTCACTGACATCAAACTATTCTTAACATGTAGAATAGTACCTTGTAATTTAAAGTCATTGATGAACTCAGCCTTTTTGGCGGGTACAAATTGATGATCTGTGGTGTGAAAACTCTGAGGAATTGTGCCTAAAGAGGATGTTTTAAAGATCTAATACCTAATGAGTATTCTTTGCAAGTCCACGTGCTTCTAGTTGCAAATGCTCACGCAGTTATTACAAATTCACACCCCTAACAAAACTCTCCTTCACCGGTCCCCCCAGAGGGAATGGATCAGCCAGTGGCATGGAGAGAGCTGGAGCATCGGGTCAGACGTCCTGTTGTGCCACGTTCTGAACTCTGTGCTCATCAGGCACCAGCCCCACCCCCATATCAGTGTCCCCGCAGACGGACCTCCCCAGGGCAGTGCCTCTGTGTGCGTCATCCTCTCTCTTTCTGCTTCTGCTTCTTTAGTTCTTCCTTCCAGCACCTCATCAATCTGGTTTTTTCTGCTTATACAAGGACTGTCATGCCTTCCCCAAAATGGGCCCCTCACCCCAGGTCTCCCTGACCTTCCATGTCCACCAGCTAAAGCTAACTGAGAAAACCATAGCATCTGAACTCAACAAAATGAACCTGCACCTTGGCTTGGGCTTCAAAGAAGTAATTTCAAAATCCAGAAGAGACAATCTGATTGGTGCATCTTGCATCAGGTTCCACGCCATGACCAGTTAGCCATGGAAGCCTGAGGGCCCACCAGTGTGGGAGAGGAGAGACGATGGCAGCAAAGGAGACAGTGACTCAATACGTCACTCAAGGTGGGTCTACAAATCCTTTGGAACATTGTGACACCTGCTATAAGAGTACCATCCAGGGTCAGTTTATAAAAGCAACACAGCCTATGCTGCCCAGTGAGTGGAAGGCAGCACTGAAGCAGACCAACTGGCAGCAGAATAAGCCCCCGGCAGACAGAAAAACTTTATTTCCCGGTGTCAGGAGGAGAGAGCTGGCCTGCCCCAGACCCAGAGCTGCCTGCACATCTGGATCTCACTGGAGTCTGGGTGGCTGCCGAGCAGATTCATCCAGGAGCTGGAGAAAAAGACATGGCGGTAGCTCAGACCACACCTCATCACCTGGGCTGTATCTGGCCCCCTGCCAGAGCTGTTGTGCCTTTATTGGGAACCCTAATGACTTCTCTGTCATTGGAAGTTACTCGTTACTTTGCTCTCCAAAGCTGGAATGTATATGAGCCACTGGGGTAGCAGAAAGACATGAGTCCTGCTGAGGTTTGGACCCATCCTCCTCCCCTCTCAAACCAGAGACCTAAGCCCTTGGCTCCAAACACTGATTGGCAGTAGATGCCATCCCTAATCAGCTTCTCCTTCTCTCCAACCTTTAAACATGTCTCCCGACCATGAGCAACATGCTTGTGTGGACTGCAAGACCATTTGGCCCTTATTGGACTGTGAATCTCTGCCACATAAGAAGAAATTAGTCAGAGGTGGTGGGGAAATATGGCCTTTGGGGTCCTCAGGAGCTGAGTCTGAGCCCTAGACTCACCACATAAGAGCAGTGGGATCCCACTCAGGGGGCTTGCCTCTATGCACCTGGTGGTTGACTGGGAAATTTGTGATAACTCTCCCACAAAAAGTAAATTTGAAAACCTAGAATCAAATGGCTGACATAGTTGAATCTCTGATGTTTGCCCCCTTTGCCTTCCTTCATGGCAGAGATGAAAGCAAACTTTATTCCAAGTACTGAATTCAGGCTCTTTCTCTCACACCCAATGTGTTATCAAGTCAACCAGCACTTATTACAGCTACTGTATACACTGGCAAGGGATTCAGAGTCCTGTGTCTCCATGCTCATCTATAAACTTACTCTCAGTGGAAAATGGGGGGATCATGTGCTTCCCAACCTCCCAGAGGACTAGGTGACTGTACAACTTTGTAAAAAATGACAAGAAGAAAAGGTCCTGTTTTGTTCTCTTAGAAATGTCTCAGCAGCAGGGTTTTCCACAGAACTCAGTATGTTTTCCCCTCTCCTCTCTGACTCTCATCTCCTGGCTCACTTTGTTCCCAGGTCCTGGGAGGGGATCCACAGGAGTCACCAAAGCCCCACATGGAAAATGGAGTAGCACTGGGGATTAGCAGCCAGATTCAGCACCATGGACAGCAACAGACGTCCCTGCACCGTCCTCCTGGCCTATGCAGGTGAGTCTTTGGATACTAGCCCTTGGCCTTACTGCCCTTGTACACGAGTGCTGCGTCTGAGGGAAGAGCCTCCCTGCCTCTCATTGGCTTGCTTCCTGCTGCTTGACTAACTGGACCACAGCTCCTGCTCTGACCTGTTAGGACCCTCCCCTCAGGGCTGCAATCCAACAATTCCCCAGGAACTCTTTCCATTTGGACCCGTGCTTGACAAAGGGGACATTCAATGGTCTGTTTCTGGGGCAAGCAGATACAAAGGGGCTGGGCATTTGTGGATTTTCAGGAGATCAAGTTTTAAGCCAAGTCACAGTGCTTTTCCACTTCAAGCCTCCTACTCAAGTCAAGGGCAAGGGTAGACAAGAGCTGAGCCCAGAGTATGGCTGACCCTTTCTTGCTGGCCTACCTGTGGCACCTGGAAGGGTTGACCCCTCCATCTTCAAGACTCCACTCTTTTTGTGATGCCTCTCATAGGGAAACTCCTTGACTGACTGCCCTTCCTCCTCCTACCCCCTCACTGAAGGCCTTGAATAACAAAGTCTGGACCACTCTTCTTGCTCTGTTCCTCTGTCTTCCTTTCCTTCTGTCTCAGACCTCAGGACACACCTCCCTGTCTTTACCTCCAAACTCTGTTCCACCCATCTGAAACCTTAAACCTCAGGTCCTTAGGCTAGCAATGTGGAATCACCTTTGATTTTTCTCTCCCACTTTCCCTATGAAAACCACTAATGAAACTTCTTATCCTGTCATAGAACATAGCTAAATCATGCAATATTTTCTCAACTAAAATATATGTAGAGTGAAGAACAGGGTCTTATTTTTGCATACAACTAAAACTGCCATATCATGATGTATAGTAATATTTCACCCATTTCTTTTTTGTTTGTATTTTTGTTTTTGTTTTGGCTACTAAAGCATAAGGAAAGACAAAACATACAAGCAAACACACCCCACCTACTTATATTGTTTTCTTTAAATGTTCTTCCCAAGCATTGAGTTTTTTTTTAAAATTCTCTTTTGTCCTTTCACCCATCTCCAAACCCTCCCCTCTGACAACTGTCAGTTTGTTCTCTGGGGAGAGAACACAAAGCTTGTTGACCAGGGGCCGTGCCAACCTCCCTCTGCTGAGTGATCAGATGGTCGCAGCCCAAGGTAACAGCAGAACAGGAACCACACAAGCTACCACTGTGAAACCCAGCAACTGAAAAGGGTGGGTGATGGGGGGTGAGGCAAAGACAGGAAACAAAACCAGAGTTTCCTCTCAAAATGAGTCTGCAAGCCCAAATTTCTGAAACCTACAGAGAAATCTAATTTGAGAAAGGAAGTTGATGCACACTCCCACCAGCTGTGTCTGTGGTGTTGTGGATGCGATGAACAAATTCACATGGACTGTAGAAGTCCTGTGGAGAAAAGGGGATGGCAAGGCCACTCTCTGTGTGACAGATTTCTCCGACCCTTGCCAGGACAAGCTTTTATTGCTTTTCTGGGAGCATTCCCTCAAGGAAGGTCTTCATTCATCCTTGTCAGGCACTAATGATCAAACAACAGGTAACATCCAAAGAACTATGGGGGCTTCTTCTGAGTCAGGGTCACTTAGCAAAAAGGCCATAAAACTTTGGGAAACAAACTCATTTCATGGTTGGACCTTT